AGTCCCAGAGAGGGCAGGATATGCTGGAGTCCTTCTCACTGAGCTGAGGGCCTGAGAGGCTGGAAGGTCATTGCAATGAGACAGCACTCTTAGGGGGTCAGAGGAAGACAGGCTGGCCATTTTTGTTGTGCTGTGCCACCTGGATCACTAGTGAAGGGCCACGTGGACTTGCAGTGCCTCTGGAAGCAGGCAAGAGAATACAGCCACCTGGCTGATCCCAGGCCTGTTTGGTTGAGAAGTCATGGAAAGAAAAGACCTTGAACTTCAACTTCTTTGAATATAAAAAGGGAAGGCAAATTTAGTTTTGGACTGTTTTCTTTTAGGAGTTGGAGAGGGGGAGGAGAACAACATTTTCCAAATGCAGGCAGTTTTATTTTTATTTATTATTGTTTTGTGGTACCAGGGCTTGAACTCAGGACCTTGCACTTCCCAGGCAAGTGCTTATTCTACTGAGCTATCTCTGAGGCCCCTTAATTTTGTTTTGAGACAGGGTCTCTCTATGTGGCTCAGGCTGATCTTAAACTATGTAGCCCAGACTGACCTCAAACTCTCAGTGATCCTCCTGCCTCAACCTCCTGAGTGCTGGGATCACAGATATGTGCCACGCTTGGCCTTAAATCCAGATAGTTTTACACAGCTACCTCATTCATATGTGGTCTCTGCAAAGCAACAGGAAGCCTTGCTGGACAGCGGGACCCAGGGCACTGTGAATTCCAGGTGGAGTCAGGAAGGTCTGGCTGTAGGTGGCTATCAGCTCACTGTGGCAGGATTCTCAGGGCAGACCATCTGTGTAGCTGTGGAGCCAAGGGGCCGCCAAGGCATGGGGGTGGGTATTGGAGACATGGTCTTTGGATTTGGGGGAGCAAGTCCCCTAGCTCACATTCCTTCAAAATACAGCCAAGTTGGCTAGGCATGGTAGCTACTCTTATAATCCCAGCACTGGGAGGCTGAGGCAAGAAGATCTCAAGTTTGAGGTCAGCCTGGGAAATGGTGTGAGCTGTCTCAAAAAAGGTGGGGCTAGAACATATTTAGCAGTAGATGGTTTCCCCACCAACAATGAAGCCCTATGTTCAATCCACCAAACCTCAAAAAAATAAAAACAAAGAAGCCAACAACAAAACTATGAAGACCCAGCTGCCCTGGACCCAAGCTCTTTGCCTTTTCCACTGTGGTTCAAGCAGTCTTCTCTCCTGGGTTCCATATTCATTTATTACTGTCATTCCCTTGCAGACAGATAGCCCCAAATGCAGGGCTGCACCAGATACTCAGGTGCCAGGGACATTAGCCTAGCTCATCTGCTCAAGGACATAAATTCCTTCCTGTTCCCAAGGGTCCCACAGCCGCATCCTCCTTCCCTGTTTGAGTCTGTGGTGCCAGACCAGCCATCAGTGGCATCCCTTTGTTTGCTTGTTTGTTTCTTTGAACAGGGTCTTGCTATTTAGTTAAGGCTGGTTTTGAACTCAGTGTGTAGCTCAGGCTGGCCTCAAACTCATCACACTGAACTAGGTAACAAACTCAGTTACTTACTCTGCTCTACCCTTGAATTCCTGGAATCAATGCCACTCAGTGGTGGTGGACTTACTGAATGCATCACTGGTTTTCCTGCCAACGTTGCATGTTGGGATTCTGCGTGCACTGACTGGGCTGTGTCACATAGTGTGGTCTCTTGGCTGGCTTTATAAGCATCACATACTGCACAGAAGGGATTTGGGAGGGGCTGATGAGATGGCTCAGTGGTCTAAAGCACCTACTTAGAACAAGCTTGGCAAAGCACAGGGACCTCAGTTCAATCCCCCAGCACCACATACCAGCCAGCCTCGCCCCCTGGTGGGCTGAGCTGGCCACACACACACACAC